CCCGCCGCTCGCCCCGCGCGGCTCCCCGGCCTCCCCGCCCGCTGGGCGCCGCAGTCTTGGTCAGGCGCTCGATCGTCTGGTTCTTGTGCTCCTCCGCCCGCCGCGCCGCCTGCAGCCGCCGTTTCCGCGCCCGCTCCTCGCGCTTCAGCATCATCTCCTCGGTGAGGGCGGGGGCCGGGCAGCCCCCAGCCACGGGCAGCGGCAGCATCGAGGAAGGTTGACTCCGCGCCTTCTGGAGCAGAGCTCTCTGGGGAGAGACAGAGACGGAGTGCAGTCTAAAAATGGAGGAAGATGGAGAAGCGAGGTCTGCCAGATCAGGGGAGGAGGAAGAGGGGACATGAAAAACGGTCTTGAGGAGCACAGGCCTTGGGAGAGGGGTATTCATGAGCCCCCTCTCCAGGAGCCCTTAGCACTGCCTCCTCCCGGATCTTCTGATATTCAGCTATAGGTCCTTGATTCTCAAGGGGAAAAACATCCATGTTACCTGCCTGCCTGCCCTGTGTTCCAAAACTCTCTGTACCACCTCTCCAGAGGTTTGTTGTTGTTTTTAATCTTTTTATTTCAATAGACAGAATCAATTGGGTAACTGCTCATGCCAAAAACTCAAGGTTACCTTTGATTCCTTTTTTCTCAACTCCCCCTCCCAACAAGTGTCTACTTCCAAAATATACCCAGAATTCATCTGATTTTCTTCACCTCCACTATTTCCACCTTGGTTCAAAAGCCACTACCATCTCTCAGCTTACTTCAACAGTTACCTAGCTGGTCTCCCTGCTTCTATTCTCCATGAAGACTCATTCTCTACACAGAAGCCAAAATGATCTATTGAAATGTAAATCAAATATGTGGCTTCTCTGCATACAGCCCTTCACTGGCTTAGCCACAATTTTTCTTCTCCTTTATCCTGCTAGGCACGTTCCAGACTCAGGGTCTTTGTGTCTGCCGGTCTCTGCCTGAAAAGCAGAAGAAAATACCAGAAGGTATTGAAAATATTGTTTCTTCAGAGAGGTTTTCTCTGATAATCCCATCTAATGTTATCTCTTTTCTACCACTTTCTGTTCATCACCCTATTTTCATTTTGTCACGAACCTTTCAGCTTTTTGATTTGCTGTTTCTTTCTTTCTTTTTTTTTTTTTTTTTGGTGGCTGGCACATGGATCCGAATTTGTGACCTTGGTGTTATAAGGTTGTTCTCTAACCAACCGAGCTAAGTGGCCATCTCCTCAGCTTTTTGAAATTATTTATTTACCTATTTACTTCCCCCACCAAACACACAGACTAGAATACCAGCTCCATGAGAACAGAAACCTTGCCTGTCTTTTCTCCACCACTGATATCCCTACTGCCTAGCAAAGTGCTTGAGACATGTAAAGTTCTCAATATACATTTGGTGAGTGAATAAAGAATGAATCGACTTACCTGTCGAGCAGTGAGCAGCCGTTCATTGATCTCCTTCTTAAGGTCTCCATTGTCATCCAGCTCCCCCTTCTCCAGGGCATCCAGCCACCTCTGTTCCTCCTCTTCCTCCTGACCCACTAAACCCGCAGACAGGTCCCGAAGTGGGGAGGGGGACAGATTACTGTCTTCATCTGAGAAAGAAAGTTGGAGAGATAAAAGTAGAATGGTTCAGATGGGGAACCCTAATTTGGCCAACTTAATACTAGGACATTCAAAATTCTCACCCACTTCAGAGCCAACCCCCACCCTTAGCCAGGTATCATGAGAAACCCAGTCTCCCCACCTCCAGATCCTTCTCACCCAGCCAGGCACGGTACTGCTCGAGAGGGACTCCTTCCATAGGTTCCTCTTCATTATCCACAACCATAAGGGGAGAGGGTGAGCGGGGCCCCTCAGAGATCACAGTGAAGGTAGGAACACTGCGGAGAAGCAACACTACTCTGTAAACTGAGCAAATGTCTCCTCCTGCTCAGTAGCTACATCCAGCCTCCCCTATCCTCTTGGGTTCTTGCTGGGCTCTGAAGTCAGTGTCCATTCCGTCTTCCAGAAAGCTCAGCCAGCTTCTAACTTCTATCTCTGCCTGCTGCAAAAGTTCCCCAAGTAAAACCTCGACGGTCTTGGTCTCACCTCTTGGTGCCCAGGACCTGCCCGCCCAACTTGATTTTGAGTTTGAGCTGGGGCTTGGCAGGAGACGGCTGCGTGGGCCCGGCTTCTTCTTCCTGATGGTGTTTCTTCTTGTGTTTCTTCTTGTGCTTTTTGTGCTTTTTCTTGTGCACTCCGTGGCCATGGGCACCCGCCAGGCTCAACTCCAGCGCTTCCCCTGCGGAAGGAGAGCCTGTCAACGGTGTTCGGCCAGAGCTTGGCAGAGGAAGCCCTGAATAATCCTTGAGAGGGGTCCTACCCCTCCCTGCGGTACTCGCTGTTACCATAACAACAGCACCGCCTTTCTTCTTCCCACTGTGGCGAAGTGCCCTGCAAGCTCGGAGGAGCAAGAAAAGGACTTCTTTTCTTTTTTTTTTTCCCTTTTTTGAGACCAGCCGCACTGCACTCAGCCAGTGAGCGCTGTGAGCGCACCGGTCATCCCTATATGGGATCCGAACCCGCGGCGGGAGCGCTACTGCGCTCCCAGCGCTGCACTCTTCCGAGTGCGCCACGGGCTCGGCCCAAAAGGACTTCTTTTCTAAGAAGGCCTAAATTGCTTGATGGACCCGCGCTTACCCGGCTCAGGGGCCTCCATAGACCCAGAAGTGCTTCCGCGCCGCCACAGCTTACTCATGGGGTACTGCAAGGAAAGGGGACTGGAAATGGTCGGGACACATGCAGTCATGCCTTTTCCGCTCCGCGGAAGAACTGACTCCAGCAACAGAACCGGATACTTCCGGTACGTGACAACCATGCTTGTGCGGGGCATGCTTTGCGACGAAAATCTTCCCTGAGAAACAACGGCCCTTCCAACGAAAGTTCCGGGCCCTTTGAGGTTGGGACCTCCCAAAGCGGCATATCTTTCCCCTCGCTCAGCCTTTCGTTACTAGATTCCAGAACTCAGTGCGGACGAGGCAATTCTTACACTTAAGCTTTTTGACCGTATACTGCGGCTAGGCTAAGAGGATGCAAAGATGAATGTGAACACCGCCCCTGCCCTTGAGGAGCGCACAGTTGGGTGCAGGAGTACATTAAGTACATTGGCGGCAAAATGGCAGAAGTGCACGCGTATCCTAAGAGCAAAGCAAGAGTTCTTAGGGTTATAACCTTAATTCTCATTAGCAGGGAAATAGATAAATGAATTATAGTGCATCTATACAATTTGGAACACCATGTTGCTAAGAAAAGTTGAGTGATAAATAATTCATAAGATTGACACGGAATTTAGATCCCAGTGGATAATGGCATTGGAAACAATCTTAAGTGTCCATCTAAAGTGACACTAAAATAAACTTGGTACATCTGCACAATGGGATGCTATGCAGCTACTAAAAGAAATGAGGCCCTAGGAAACTACCCAGGAAACTGGTGACAGCAATTGCTGATGTGTGGCTGGGAAATAAGTGTGGAGGGAGACTTATTTTTCATAATATATCCTCTGTCCATATTAAATTTTGTACAAAACGTGTATTTTTGCCTGATATTAAAGCACGCACCAAAAAAAAAGGTAGACCTGTATGTGCTGATATACGAGATAAGAAAAGTGAGCTTCAAGATTATGTGATCCCATTTAAAAAGGAATAATATGCTAGTATATACATAGAAAAAAAATTGAGGAATATATACTATACTATGAGTGTTGGTTATCTTTAGAAGTTGGGGTTGGGAAACTTTCACTAGCTAGGTCTGTAATTAATTTTCTTACAACCAGTGTATATCACATTTATAATAAGAAATAACACCTATATACATATATCTAAATATATGAGTGTCTGACCAAGGTAGCAGCAGTGAATAAAGAAAGGAAATACCTGATTCAAGAGACATTTCAGTGATAAAATTATCAAGAGTCAATGAGCAATTATATATAGGAATTCAGAAAGAAGGTCAATGTAGTATGTGATTTAGATAAAGAAAATGGAGAGTTGGCCAGTTAGCTCAATTGGTTAGAGCATGGCACTGATAGCACCGAGGTCCAGGGTTTGAACCCTGTACTGGCCAGCTGCCAAAAAATAAAATAAAATGGACTTTGGAGTTAGACAAGCCTATTTATTATCCAATCTCACTTTCCCAATTTGTTAGCTGGGCATCCTGAGGCTCAAAAATTTTTAAGCTTCTCTGAACCTCAGATTTCAGCTTTGTAAGATGGAATGAAGTATGGTCCTCTTCATAGGGCTATTTCAAGGAATAAAGCAAATCAAGAATGCAAAGTACCTAGGGTAGTATTGGGCACATAGTAGATGTTTCAATAAGCAAATTGTAATAAGTAATAGGTTTCTAGCTCAAGTATTTAGAAGGAAGGTGGTGTTTTCAATAAGGAAAGAACATAAGAAGAGAAGAAAGTAAGAAGGGAATCATTTGGTTTTGCCCAAGGTGAATTTGAAGTGCCTGTGGGAATACCCAGATGAAGGTGCAATAGCTGAGAGAAGCCAGTGCTGAAGGTGGGAGTGCGAATTCCATCGGCATAACAATGGAGGTCCCCAAGGGATGAAAGCAGATGAGACATTCCAGAAAGAGCAAGTAGATGAAGACCAGGAAGGACCAGGAACAGAACTGAGTGAGCACCAGCCCTGGACAGGCAGGCAGAGGTGCCAGGTAGGATTGAGAAAAGAAGGTCAAGGGGGGCAGAGAATATCAGCAGATCAAGACTGTGTACAGTCCTGCAGAGGGCAGGCTGAACTGTGAGAAGTGAACGCTTAGGCAATACTTCTGTCTCACTGGAAGTTAAAGTGAGGGATCACTTGCAGTTAGCATTTGTAGAACTCCTTAGAGTTCATAACATACTTTCATATCTCTTCTCTCCCTTGACCCCCACAGCAGCTACATAAGGGAAATACTATTTTCCCATCTTATAAATGAGGAAACTGAGGCTCAGAGAGATGAACTCTTTAGGCCAAAGTCACACAGTTAGGGAGTGGCAGAGCCTGCCTCAAACAGAGGCTTCCTGACACTAGCCCAGTGGTGTTTCCTCCACATCCTGATGCCCAGCAGGAAGGAAGTGGCGACAGTAAATGGAAACTGGCTTTATTATTTTGTTTTGTTTTTTGTTTTGCTTTGTTTAGAGTAGGAGAGATTTAAGCATGTTTGTAGGCTGAGAGGAACTCATCCTTCTGCAGGAGTTCTTAGCCTTATTTTTAAAATTATATTTATTTTTAAATAATTTCTTTTTTTTTTTTTCCTTTTGTCTTTTTTTGTGACCGGCAACGGATCGCAACCCTCAGTGTCGCGCCCGTACCGGACCGGGACCAGCAACGGGATCGCAACCCTCGGTGTTGCCCCCACACCTCGCTCAGCCAGTGAGCAGCCGGTCTGTATGTGGGATCCGAACCCTCAGCGGGAGCGCTGCCGCGCTTCCCAAGCGGCACACTGTAGCAGTGCGCCACCGGGCTGGCCCCTTATTTTTAAATAATTTCAAGCTTAGAAAAAAATTGCAAAAAGAGTACAGAGAACTCTCTTTAAACCAGATTCTGCAATTGTTAACATTTACCCGTATTTATACCCATTTATACCCATTATTATTATTATTTTTCTGATCAATTTGAGAGCAAGTTGCAGACATGATGCCATTTCACCCCTAAATATTTCAGTGTGTACTTCCCTCAAACAAGCACAGTGTTCTGTAAGTTTTGTGCAACCCTCCCAGTCAGGAAATTAACCTTGATACAACACTACCATCCAATCCAAACCCCATTCAAATTTCACCAACTGTGCAATGCGTTCTTTTCCTTCTAGGCCGGGATCTACATCCAGCATCATGGGTTACATTTATTTATCTCTCTATACTGCTGTAATCTGGAACACTTCCTACCTCTTACCCTGTCTTTCATGACTTGACAATTTTAAAGAGTCCAGGTCTTTGACTTTGTACGATGTCCTTCAGCCTGGGTCTCTCTGGTGTTTCCTCAGGTCTAGTCTTGTCAATTCTTGACAGGAAGACCACACACAAAAAACTTATGCTGTGTTCTTCTCGACATATCACATCAGGAGGCTCATGATGTCAGCCTATCTTACCATTGACGGTGTTAACCGTGATCACCTGGTTAAGATGATATCTGCCAGTTTTCTCTATTGTAAAGTCACCATTTTTGCCTTTGTAAATAACTATTTTCTGGGGAAATACTTTGAAACTATTCTAATATCCTGTTCCCCACCGAACATCAACCCACCAGGCTTAGTTTCTATCCACTGATGAATACTGTATGAATCAACTCTACTGCAATAATTGCCAAACAGTGATCTTTCTATTTCCATTATTGCTTTTACATATATTAGTTGGCATTCTACTGTAAAGAAGAGCTTTCTCTTCTCCTTATATTTATTTACATATATATTTATTTACATCAGTGTGGATTCCTATTTCAATCAATGGGTTGTACTCCATTGCTGTTGTATCTATTTTGATGCTCAAATTTGTCCCAGATTTGGTCAGAAGGCATTTCTTTAAGCTAGTCTCTGTGCTCTTTTGATATATCTCCATCGTTCTTTGAGTACTTCTTTTAATTTCTAGCACTACAAAATGTTTTGGGCTCATCTTGTCCTTTCCCTGGATAAGGAACAAGAACCAAGGGAGGCCAGGCAGCAGGAACACAGGGCTGAGGTTATGACGAGGCCACACTTAAGTCACACCACAGGAACTTGATGATAAGGCACCCAATCCTCAGGGACTGCAGGTGCAAGTAAGTATATCATGAACTCTCCCTGGGTCTTGTCTGTGCTCCCTCAAGATTCAAAGTCCAGTTGGGAGCATTCCAGTTGGTTGGCTTTGGCCAAGTGCCTACCCCTGGGCCGTGAAGAAGTGAAGGGAGGATAAACATCCTCCAGCTGCCATAAAGGGGCTAGAGCTCATCCTACCAATGTTGCCCACAGTGGGGGATCGTGCAGGAGTAGGAAGATGATTTGAATCCTGGGTCACCCACAGCCCCTTCCCCAAACATCTACTCCATAGTTGAGGAGATCTAGATACAAACATAAACAAAGGGAAAAGATTGGGAAGACTATACAACAAACTAATGGCATGCTGGTAAATGTTGAACAAAAGCTCCCCCCACCAAAAACAGCCCTGATGTGTCATGTTCACCTATTTCTGTTGTGTAAATGCTCCCACCCTGGCCATTTTCAAATATGACATCTCTGAACACAGAGTTGGGAAGAGATGTGCAGTACCTCACCATTATATAGCATTTCCACCATGCAGATACTATAGATGTAAATAACCTCAAGAGATTAATCATAGTAACATGCAGTAAAATAATTAGGAAGTGATGAGTGTTGAGTATTTATTACCTTTGCTTTAACATAATTTATTTAGTTGTAATTTTATATAATTTAATTTTTAATTAAAGTAGTGTTTAACAACTGCATGCACGATTCCAGAAAATTCCAGCGATTGTCTCTCAGAGGCCAGAGTGAGCACCAAACTGTCTTAGTTTTCCTCTGGGGGTGGAACTGGGGGTGGGGAAGGCATGCTTTTATTCTTTTTTTTTCCTTTATATTATTTTTTAAATGGCAGAATTAGGGGTGATTTTAGAAATTGTGTCTTTAGGGGCCGGCCCGTGGCTCACTCGGGAGAGTGCGGTGCTGATAACACCAAGGCCACGGGTTCGGATCCTATATAGGGATGGCCGGTTGGCTCATCACTAGCTGAGCGTGGTGTTGACAACACCAAGCCAAGGGTTGAGATCCCCTTACCG